GCCTACACGTCTGCAACAAGGCCAAAACAACAGGTGGGGGCGGGGGGGGGGCTCCTAAACCCTAAACCCTTGAGTCAAGCAAGCACAGGTCTCAACCCACCATGGCTGATCTTGCCATGCTGCTGGCCAGTGGACGCCGCGTCATGGCACGTGCAGCTTTTCAGCTCGGGTTCACCCCCCAGTTATGCGTCACCCAGGGCAATCAAAGCTGTCCTGTCTCAAAGTCTGGCCCTTACCTTTCTTGCAGTTGATATCCTTGTTGCACCCGTTTCCCCTCTGTGTTTGCACACCTGGTCCTGCGGCCGTCGCACGCGCAGCGCTGCCCGCCGGTGCTGCCTGCATTGGGCCGGCGTGCAAACCCAGGCTGCGCGGGGACGGCCCCCTTGCGTTCAAGCCGCTCAGTGTTCAAAGGGATGCCCCGCCGTCGGACGGCATGGCTCCGTGGCAGGCGCCGTGTGCTTACCAAGCTTGTTGTTTCGCCACACAACCCTCTGTCTAAGGCTTGTATATTCAAAATTTGAGGGTTTAGGTACGCATAGTTCAGGGGCAATGGCTACGTCATCCGCCGCAGCGGCAGAGGTGAGGAGACGTATGGCTGGTTGGACTGCTTGTCCCTGTGCATGTGGAGCTGTCATGATGTCCAGGAAACGCCACTCCAACGGGTTACCCAACCTCTCTGTCTGCCTTCAATGCAAGAATTCACCTGCGTTTTGTAATGGTGGATTGCACCAATTCCAACAGTCTGCAGCTTTGCCAGCATGCAGATCACAATTGGACCAGGTCAAAGCAGACAACCACGACGTACCAGTAGATCGTGAGCGTTGCATGTATGATGGGGCTTCCATGAAGTTTTGAGGGCTCTACCGTATGGACGATGCGGGTGACAAGGGCTGGTGGACGCTGCTCACGTCGGTGCGGATCACAGCGATGACTCTTTGTTTTTGAGAGCCGCAACGATGACAGCAACGATTATAGATTGTCAAAGCATTCAGGCAGCTGCTGATTCGCTGTGGCCTATTCTGATTGGCGACGCGCGTCCAGCGGGTCGCGCCACGCTGCTGCTGCTCTTGCACGTGTCGCTGCTGCCCTCAGCCCACACCTGACGCCCGACGCACGCCCCCCGCCCCCGCCGCCGCCACGCCTCCCCCGCCGCAGCCCTGCGGCCACAAGCTGCGCATCTTGCTGCCCGATACGCTGCTGCTGCGCCCCGGCGGCGCCGCTTATGCATGGTACCGCACCTGCGGCGACGGCTACGCGGTCCGCACCCCCAGCAGCGCCCTCAGCCTGCACGCCTTCTCCCGTGCGCTGCGCCGCGCCCGCCTGCCCGGCGCGGAGGCGGTGACCGCCGGCCCCCGCGGCAGCGAATGCGGCGGCGGCGGCGACAACGGGGCGGTGGCGGTGGCGAGGTATGCGTCCGGGCTGGCGCGGCTCCTGGACGGCCCTGGGCTGGATCGCATGGTGAGGCGGCTGCTTATATGGCTGGACTAATTCCACCCAGCAGCTGGTCTGCCCGCTCGTCCCGCAACACTGGTTTTTTTGACGGCGCGGCCCCTTCGGTCGGCTTGCAACCGGCGCACCCCTGCCTCTGAGGTTGCGGGTGGCGGCGGGGCCCCTGACGCATGTATGTGTGTACGCGACCGGCGCCGAGCGGTCGGCCACGGGCGTGCATGCAGCCGGTGACTCGATCAGGCCACCAATCAGGCACAGATTTGCAACCTACCAGCACACGCCCACAAATGCCCACCCACATGCGCCCTTGGCCCCACACAAGCCGTTCAACAACGCACGTGCTGCCCCTCTGCTTGTCACATGTATGAATGCGCAGCTCTCGGGCGTCACCCTCACCTTTAGCAGAACTCCTCCGCCGGCGGCCAGCTGCTGCGCCGCCAGCGACCTGGCCGCCCTCGCCGCCTCGTGGCCCGGCCTGCCCGACGGGCCCGAGCAGCCCTCCACGGCTGCGTCAGAGATCGGCACCGCAAACGGCCCGTCGGCGGCGGGCGATGGCTGGGTTGCCACGGAAGCCGGAGGGGCGGCGGGGGCGGACTGGGTGACGTCGATCCAGCAGTACGTGGCGCCCGCGGACGGCCGCCGCTACCTGACGACAGCCGGCGGCGCCGACGGCCCGGGGCGCGACTCGACGCAGGCGCTGCCTTACTCTGCGCGCTACGCCCCGGACCCCCGGCGCCGGGCGGCGGGCGGGGCCGGCTGGGCGGCTGGGGGCGGGGCGGGCGCGGAAGCTGCGGGGTCGGGGCCGGGATCTTTGCAGTCGGACGAGGATCGGCGGCTGGGTGGGCTGACCAGAGTGGTATCAGGCGTGGAGCAGCAGCAGCAGCAGCGGCAGCAGCAGCAGCAGGAGCGGGAAACGGTTGGAGAGGAGGCGGAGGGCCCGGTAGATGCGCCCGCCGCGGTGCACAAGCAGGCGTCCGCGCTGCTGCAGGTGTGTGTGCGTGTGTGTGTGTGTGTGTGTGTGTGTGTGTGTGTGTGTGCCGGGGGGGAGGCGGGCAGCAGGGGCCAGCGGCAGGCGTGCGTGCATCAGTGCAAGTGGGCGAGCATGCGCATGGGCGGGGGGGTTGCCGCGCGGCTCCCCAACCTGATCCCAGTTGCATGACCTCACGCGTCACCCCCCCCCCCTAAATTCAGAGGTGCTGCACGCACATGCGACAGC